TCAGCACTCAGGAGTAGACAACATAAAAGTGTTACTTTTGAGTAAGCAATCAATGAAAGGACTGTATATCACTTAAATTCATTCAGATGTACACAAATGGTTACTAATTATTCACGTTATTTAGTAATATATCTCAATTAAATCATGTTCAGATTATTCGACTTTCGCATACAAATATTCTTCATTTCCAAATGAAATTGATTCACGATAGATAGACAAATTAATAAAGAAAACAAGTTCAGTTGTTCAGTTGTTTTTTAAGTTGTGATTAGTAACACTTTTTTCCGTGTCATTCACATAATGACAAGTTGAGTTCATATTATATACAACAAGAAGAGCAAAAAACGTAAAATATAAATTATGATTAATGCGACTAGGTTGGAGGAAGAAAAAGGAACGAGAATATAAACCATAATCACACTATTAACAAGTGATCACCATTGTGGAAAGAAGAGATAAGAAACGTCAAAAACAAAAAAGAGAGAAGTACAGAGAACATAACAGAGAAGAGGGCAGACGAGTAATCCAACTTCCCACAGGATAAAATAAATTATATCACATAATGACATTACTTTGTAGTTGATTTCGTCCTGTTATGCATGTAGCTGTCTCTCCCTCTTTACCTTGCTCTCTCTCTCCCACACACACATACACATAAACATATGTACATGCTGAAACGTGGTGAGCTACACATCATGAAAGCAACTAGCTTTTTTCTTTGACCGAATTCGCTAGTCCTTACATTGTTGTATGTTTGTTTGTTTATATGTTAGCTGTCGTCGTCATCTCGTTATTGTCCTGAATTTAAGCGGTAGCCAAAAATTTGACATAAGCAGGATATTAGACTGTCACAAGTGACAATGATGTCTTTCTTTGTTGTTGTTCATTCCTCACCAAGAATTAATACAGTGAGCATATGGAATTCCTTCTGGAGTTGTTCAACTCAATTCGATTTGCCCGCCGTTCAATTTTTATTGATCAGTCGGTTGGTTTATTTTCAGATGGGTGTTTTCATTAAATATAGAGTAGAATATGACAATAGATTTAAAAAAGATATCCGTTTTGTCAAGATTTAAATAACGTTCTCCTAGCTGGTAGCTTTCCCTGTAGCATTCTGGTCAGCATTATCAGTATAAATTGGGGGTGGTGAAAAGGATATCATGAAAATCTCTGCCTTGAATAATACCGACTGGAAGCATACTGAGCCACATGCATTTTCCATCAACTACATAATCTGCCGTCTCCCTGTTAAGACAATAAGCATCCTCTTATCACGAAATGAAATCGCTAACTGTAAAAAAGGGACAGTATCTAGCGCACACTTTCCCGGAATTTTACACTATTATATACTCTTGATCCTTTCACGATAAGAATTCAGACTCCCAAGTCTCTTGATTACCACTTCACTGTTACACTGTTGATTTGTGAGGTGATCATGAGGAATACCGCCATTTCTGTTGGTTCTTGATAATTCTTCTAGTTCCACCTTAACAGCAGTCTGAGGAAATTGTTTTTAAATATCGCTAAATAGAAGAAACAATGTTAGTTGTAACTATACATTAAAGAACCATGATTCAATATAGCGATTTCAAGGAATTCAATGTCCATTATATCCTATCTTTTTTCTCGAGCATTGTATGCTTAATTCACTTGTTCATTTTCACTTACAAACTTTTTGCTGTTAACCAATCAACAATACAATAAACATCCTCTGATACTTCAAAAGCCTTCGGTTCTTTCTAACTCGATATGAACTACATTACAGTAGAAATGAGAGCAGTAGACTTTGAAATTACCAAGTGACCTACTAGTCTAGACTGTTATGAGTATCTGTAAATCTGATTTACCAGTAAAAAAATTAATACTCAAGTATTGTGTTACAGAACATAGACAATTGGATAGGTAACTCGGAGGCAGTCGGTTGGAATCTTGTAATAACTAAAGTTTTCTTCCAACTCAAATCATTATATAAATAAATTCAACAGTACAGAAGGTCACGTTAGATAGGATAAAATAATCACTGAACAGCTAACTAATTAGCGCTATTTTCACCAAATTGATCGAACACTGAAGAGTCTTGGATTCTTGCTATTGTAACAGTAAAGTATTAAAGTAACAAAGAGAAGAAAACTACAAAAGAAACACCGACGGTGACAACAACAATAGTAAACTGTCAGTACCAAAGTAATCAGCAGTGATAGGCACAGAAAACAAACTCCTTAATTAGTCGGTATACTGTGCTTGTTCTTTTCTGCTTTGTGTATACTTACACTTCTTGCTACCATTACAAGGCTTTCCTCAGTGATATTTCCTTGTCTACATTTATGCATTTGTTTGTCTTTGTATGTCTGCCTGTACATGTGTGTACCGATGTGTGGGTGAATCTCCAAGCCAACTAATATATTCATTAGTGCGAAGGAAAGAATTACTTATCATTCGCTTGCCTGAACATCATTTGTGCATTAAATGATACCTGTCTAAGGAAAATTGAACAAATGAAGGTATGTCCAAACGATTTTCTATTTAAACTTATGTCACTTCTTTCTACAGAAAATAAATAAATAATAATAATAACTGAAAAGGAAGGAAATTTTAGTGATAAGCGATCATTTTAACAAGTTTATCATGTTTTTAAAAACTAGAAGATCATAGCATAACCAAACAGATTTTTGTAAATCCTAATAAAAAGCCATTTGAGAATATTGACAACTTAAACCTGTCTTTTCCAAGCAAGAGTATAAGGGTAGTGTCTAACTACTCATTCTGTTCAGTAGTATAGATGGACAAGTAAATATTTTACAGATCAATTTACAATGTGGCCAGTAAGCTAAGAGCCTCATTATCGCAGTTCAGTTGAAGAGAGATGTTAGATGGTTGGGGGCAATCGACAGTAAGACCTCTACCTAAGTTTTGTGCTTGTTGACACTCGTCTACAACCTCGACGGTACTAACGTCCTGCCTGAGATTCAAACACGTACCACAAAGTTTTGTAGTCAGAGACGCTACCACTGAGCTACGCAGGCTGCGACTGAATTGGTCCTCACTGGTTACCTCAAAAACCCCTCAGGGTAGGTGTAACTATATAATGTCACCAACAATTCAGTGTCGTTGTAATGTAGCTTATGGGTTGCTTCCACTGTACACCGACAATGATGTATACTCACTAAAGAACAAATTGAAACTAAACAACTCCTTACAAGTAATGTCTGATGCCATGTGACTGCTCAAACTTTCTCAGATACATCTTAGTTTAACCCTTTTGAGTACTATTTGACCACTCAGTGAGCTACATACAGCTCCAAAGCTGTTGCCTGATATCACTCCAACTCTATAACCTCGAATCAGATTGATAGTGGGTGACAGGCATCTCAAAATAACCTCATTAACTTGTTGTTAAAGTTGGAAAGTGGAAACCAATACCTATGCCTTTTTAAGACATTTCCCTAGTTGTAATCTTATTTCTTGTAGTTCCTCGTCGTCGACTAGACCGAATTAATTGACCCTTACAGTCATATGGACTTCTACGCGGATGCCTTGATAATACCTGTAGTTTCACTTTGATAGTAATGATAGAAAGTGGCTAGCAGTGAATCCAAGATACGTGTTTCTCCCTTCTCCCTACTCGTCAGGCGGATGTATCTGCTTGCTAGTGAGTGACGTCCACACTGATACTCACCCCAAACATCAGAGTGTTATCCACCAGGCTACTAAGCCATAAAAGTGGATGATTTTAATTAGTAGACAACAAAAGGAAGCGACTTTAACAGAAAGCCTCTTGTTCAACTTTAAAATGATTTCATATCATCAATGATTACTTACTTATTTGATAAAGTTGCCTTTCGCAAAAAGAAACAATAACACCAAGGATTTGAGAGTGATAATATTTTTAAGGGTTAAATTGTTTGTCAATAGTTGTCAGGAAAATAAATTTAGTCTCAAAGAGAAAACAACAATGTAGAGATTCTTTGGAACTTTGAGGCATGATTTAATGAAACTTAATTGTTTTTCAATTTCCAATCAGTAAATATCCACTGTTGTTGTTGTTGTTGCTGTTTATGATAAGGAGATTTTCCTTCATTATCATTATATTGGTCACTTTGTGGGAAAAGAAGTTGGTTTCAAAGTGGTTCCTTTCAGGAATTGACTTCAGTTCCAAAAGCTCAGAGAACCTGACAGCAGTTTTATCCTAGACCCTTGACACAACCCTTTCGAAGTCTGCTCTTAGGGATTGAGTCCAAAGCAGTCAAATTTGATGGTTGAGTAAGCTGTCATTAAATCAAATAAGAGATGCGTATGCTTTCAAACTTGTCATTTATGCTTTGCCGCAACCAAAGTTAAAAGTGGTTGGTTGATACCCGATCTGATTTCTAGTGTAGTAGATCTCACAGGTAACTACATCCTATTAGAACATGGGGTAGTTTATTTTAAATCTAGCCTCTTTCATGTGTTTAATTATTGTACATTTGAGTTCTTTCTGTGGAATTTGACTTCATCTCCGAAAAACAGTGTCATCATTAAGGTATACTTGAAGAGTAACATGTATATTGATCATTCAGCATTGAAAAATAAAATATTTGTAATTGCAATGAACTTGTATCGTGAATCATAAAGAATCTGACATTTTCTAAACGTTATTGCCAATTTCTGGGTTCATAAATGCTCTCTGGTCAGCTTAAGTTGTATCCTGTACTTCATCCTTGTTAACTATTAATAAAGGTAATAATTTTTCACATAGATTGAAAAATATGATTTTTATAGTTAACAATTGTCGTTTCACTTGTGATGATTATACTTTTGCTGTTAGTTGCTTTCACATTGATAACCTTCTAGTGATCAAGTTTGAACAGGTAGATATTAGCAGTATATACATGCACATCTATGTGCTTATCCAAGGTGTGTTGATGCGCTCTTTAATTTGTATGATTGCGGTAGGTGTAGTGTACTATTGTTTGTCTTCATATCAGCTTACTGGTCAGTCCATTGATGATATATGCATATATGTTCTGTAACTGACTGACAATGGAATGGTATGAAATCTGTGTGTCATGACTTTCGGTCGTTCAACCAGGAATACTGTCCATAAACCATCCTCTTAAAGCTAGTGTATACAGAATACTGTTCTTTATCTCAATGTATTGAACAAAAAGTTGATGCTAGGCGAAACTAGTATGCCATAATGCAAGCTGGAATAAATAAATAAATACTGTAAGTTAAATTTATTAAACTTATCCATCTTCATTTCTTGTTGAATGCTAATGTTTTTGTAATAAAAAGACTTTTATCATATCTCCACAACTGATTCAGTCAAACTAGTCAACAAGATGAATACAAACTCATGAATATTCGGTTATATCAAGACATCCGTATAGAAGCCCATCTACTAACACAGGTTGAGCACTTCAACCCTAGATTGTAACCGTAAAGTATCACACAACATCAACAATTGATGCCCGTTGCACAAAAGGTGGTTATTGTGCCTCAGTCGTCTAGTGGATAACGCTCTGATGTTTTAAAGAAGAAATTTGCTTCCTATATTCCACTACTAGTCACCAAGATGAATATAAACCAGAGAATATTATACGAGATTAACGTATACAAAAGCGATAAATATCAATAGTCCTAGCTTCTAAGCTCATTTAAGACATTCTAAGCTACTTTACTCCAACGCTATACATAGATGTCAACTGAAACTGACCCAAAATCTCATACATAATCAGAAGTGAATTACAAACCTCAGGATTATCAGGTTGATTCAGACTCTTTAGTTTTCGAACATTACTCAATTTAGATAACACGTTGATGACTAAAGTTGAAGTGAAAATGTAGCCTATTATAGAATTTGAACCAGTGATCTTCAGGTTTCTGTTTCGGCATTCTACTAACTGGCCTATGATACTCAGTTCTTAATTATACTTTGTTCTTCCAACTGATATCAGTCTACGATGAATAAAAACTTGATATACTTTATTTAATATTGTTAGTTCGTTAATGGGTTTCATCTTTCAACAAATAATCGTCTACTTCACTAACATAACAACTTGAATTTAAACTATCAACTTTCATTTTTATAAAATGATTGATTTAATTAAAATTAATTGAAATCAGTCTATTATTATTACTGTTTGAGTGTGATAAGATCAAATTACCTCATGCACTTTTTACAATATACTGGTTGATGTATGTCTGCATATGTACGTATCACTTCACTACTGTTGAGGAATTCTTTATTCCTATAAGAATAAAACTTGGGGTTATGGTGAAGTGTAAGTTCATATAAGATTAGCTTATACAACTTAGTAATATTGTATCAGTATGTATATTGGTCAGTAGGTCACCGGAGAGCAACCGGCTTCATGTTGTCTAGTCCAGAGTGCTGACCGAATCCCATAGGTCATTTTGTAATGTCAAGCTAGTAGACTTGGAATTTTGGAGCGCTTTGACAGATGTTGATTGGTGATCAGGGCTAGACAACATGAAATTGGTTACTTTCCTGTGACCAACAATGTATCTAACCCAACCGTACAATAGGTCACTCACGGTAACATCATTGACTAAAACATAGGTAACATGAACTCAAATCTCAAATGGATATCAGTTCTGTTAAGGTCGCAGATATGTCTTTCTGGTGAGTGCCAGCAAGCTCTAAACCCAGGTGAAGGGCTTCATCCCAATAGTCTCCAACCAACTAAGATTGTCACTGTGTTATATCAAATAAACTAATCTAATATGAATTCTCTGCTCTTTTACAGTTATTATAGGTGCTCATTTAGTTTTCCATCTAACAATAAAACTGTTCATCTTTAAGGTTAAAGTAAGCAAAACGTGTTACTGTTCAAAATGTTTTACAGAAGTATTACATACCTTAAGCAATCTAATTTAAGAAAACCGGTTCAAACTGAACAAGCATTTTTATTTCCAGAACTATGAACTCCGTACAAAATGTTATCATGAGTTCAACTTAACAGAAACACAGGAAACAACTTAATCATCCACAGAAAAAAAAAAAATTAATCTTAATAAATACGTGATGAATTGGATTGATTCCCATCTGTCCAAGACATCATTCGATAGTATAGTAAACTATTTAAGAGGTGAACTAAATTGAAGCCTGATATGAATTTGGATCACACACACTAGAACTGTAACTCTATGGTTTGTTTATTTGTTTTGTAAACCTCCAAATCACTGCTTATATGTGCTTGATGACTGGCAGTGGAATCCAGAACATGAATCTCGTCTTATTTGTGACTTCTTAGCTGGATGTACCTGCACTCCAGTGAGTTAGGTTGCTCCCACTGAGATTGGAAACCAGTACCCATCACTTCAGACTCCAAAGCATTATCCACTAAGCTACTGGAGCACGATAACCACCTCTTGTACAACGAGTATCAATTGTTGGTGTTGCCTGATACCTGTAATTTTCGGTTGCAATACATGGTCGAGTTGTTCAACCCCCTACGGTAGATGTACTCGGTTCTGAGTCTGAGTACCAGTGGGGACAACATCAATCACTAAGGTGCAAGTAAATCAAGCTGGAGTCCTAAGTAGGAAGAAGGGCACATTCTGGACTTCACTGCTGACCACCAAGGTTCAGTCAATATGATTGTTATTCAGGCAGTATTAAGGCATCCATATAGAAACCCATCTCCCAGCAGATATCGAGAAATTCGACCCAGCATGACAACGGTAGATTAAAAGCCACTTGTCTAAGCCACTTTTGATCCTCTTCAGACTAGACAACCAAGTAGTTTTATAAGTTCTTACATACCGAATGTGAGTTCTATAATACCACAAACTGTACTGGGCTTCTAAACTTCCTTTCATGCATCTGTAGCTGATAAAACACTACTTTACTGGTTTCAAAACCAATCTTTTAAATCTTGTCACAGTTAAGGCTTCGTTCAACATTTTGCTCCCCATTTTTTGTCAAAACAATAACTGGTTTATCAAGGCAGTTTGGTCCTACAGATGAACAGTCTTTGAGTTTGTTTGTGTATGCATGAAGCGATAGGATGGAGTTAAACAGTAAAAACGGTCAGATCTTTTCAACTAAGAAGGTAGCTTTTTTCGTAATATAAAGAAAACTAACTCATTATGTCAACAGTTGCTAGATTAGCCTTACAGTCACTCTGAACATATACATCTTTCATAGAACTGGACAGTGGTAGCAAAAAATAGGTTGGGTAACATCATAACTCGCCTCTTTGTATCATTTACTCAACTTCACACTGGGTGATTATGATTTCTTGTTTGATTATGGCTGTTCTGAATTATTATTCATTCTGTGATACACATTCACGAAAATGTCTTGCAGTATGTCTAACTTCACACAATTCAAACCAAAAAAGAAAGAATGAGAGTAAAACTAGGATAAAAAATCTTTGAAAGATTGCCAGAGACCTGGCAGCACTATATAAGAAACCGTTTATAATATGATTAGTGAGTATTACTTGAGACTCTCAAACTAAACCTAAGCATATTACCAGTCAGTACCTGCTGAATTTGTTCATTTTTAAAAGTTTCCTGTTTACAAACAATTCAAGTGAATTATGCCAAGTTTCCTGAAAAAGATTATTTTTAACTATTCATGTGCTGCGCCACTACGAAATTGTCATCTAATTAACCATCGTAAAACGTTTTTCTCTCATGATCCTTTCTAAACATCTTTTAAGTAACTATTGAGAGAGAAAACCACCAAGTACTTCAAGTACTGTTCAACTGTTCAACTCTACATTCTGTTTTACATCAAAACATATTTTAAAGATTAAATCCGCCAACACTACTATAAGTTGAACGTAGAACCAATTATTTTGGATAACAGAATATTATTTATTAAGTTACAATCCACGTATTCTTCAACACTAATGAATGATGAAAAAACAATAACTAACGAATCTGATTCTTAGTAATCACAGTACTTAGACAACAGCTGAATAGGACTGAAAGATGCTTTGCATCACAATGCTAGTTACTTGTAAATAATAATATTGACATGTCGCCAAGATAAAATTTAAGTGTCAATACACAGTATCAAAATGTTAATGTTGACTATAAACAGTTGGATCTTAAAACGCCAAGACACCGAAATTTCAGAATATAATTGAAGCTTGCTTCATTTTTTCAAAATGTGAAATTACTGGTATATATTTTCAATTCCAGGCAGCATATCGCTGAAAAGATACGCTCTGGAGTCAATTACAAGCTTATATATAGCATCTATGTAGAATAGTCGATAGGTAACCTGACGTTATATGCAACCAAAAAGTAATGCAAAAACCATGATTATGTTCCGAAACTTAAAAATCTATACTATTCCAATTTCATAAACAATAAAATGATGTAGATGGAAGGCATAACCGATCAGCAGTACGACACATCTTTAACTATTATTGAATAGAAGTTTTTTTCAGTGAAATATATTTGCATTCAATGCTTTCTTCATCAGTAGCTTGGTTTTAAGATCTTGCTATCTGAAAAAAATCTGTCATCGTTTCCTTTATGTTTCTTAGCTTGAAAAATCTTCGTAAATTTATTTGTATAAAGCTGCTTCTTTAAGGGGAAAAATCTTTCTTTCAAAGAGTTAGATTGTTGGGTTAACTCCTAACTCTTCTTTGTACTTTTTACAGTTTAAAATTGTCACTTCCAATTGCATTCTGATATTGGTTGGTGATTGAAAGTGAAGTGAAAATCTGAGCCACAGCAGGATTAAAACTAGCAGCTTCTAGGCTACCTGCCTGGTACTCTGCTTCTGTGCCTTTCAGTTTCATTTCACCTCCGATCATCCTTTACTATTAGTAAAATGAGTGTGTAAACCATGACTATCTCAGACAATTTCACTGATAACCTGCCTTTTCCGAGGTGCCATCTTCGCCGGATTTTTTCTATGGATCCCTATCTCCATTTTTTCATATTTTGAACAATGTATTCTTAATTCATTCCCTGTCAGTGACAACTCGATTCCATGAGAATAAAAACTAAATTAGTGGTAAATCATATTGTATGAATGTCTTGTCATATAAGGGCTACCTACATTTAATAATCTGAAAATTTTTCTGTTTGAGTGATTGACTAAACGTTTCTTCTGTCAGAATTGGGAGTTACAGATGCATATTACAACATAGCTGACCTTCTATTCACTGGTACTCATAAACATTCATTGTTATATGACAGGCCACTGTTCAGTCTCTGTTTACATATGGTCTTGT